ATTAATAAACTTATTCATTTGATAAATGTTAAATGAATATGACACATGCTATATTTCTTCAGCCTTTGTGAATGTGATTAACATTGTAAATAATAGAATTTCATGTTTGTTTACATATGTTTAAAAATATCATTTGATTATAGTTTCCATCTTTTCCTGATTATATTGTAATCTCTGGAATATTTTAAAGAATTATAATTTTATTATCAGGTACACACAATTACTTGAACTCATAACACAAATAAAATTGCTTTAGTACCTAGACTGTAATTATTTTAATTGAATGAAAATAGGTTTTTTAAAAATGTTTTTGCACATTTAAAAATACTATTGTATTTCTGTTTTTTACTGTCAGTTTGCTAATTAAATTAGTTTAACTGGTATAATGCAAAAGTAACATTCATACAGCCCCTGTCAAATTATAATTGGTGGAAGCAGAAATAGTGTTTTCCTGTTGTTAATATTAGAATGTATAAGGTAGAAGAAATCTTCTAATTATTCAGGTTTGAAATGTGAAATTTTATAGGCTGATTGGAAAATAGCCTCATGAAGAATTGCTGTATAAAAATATTGAGGGGGCATAGGAAATAAGAATTCTTGTATGTTAATGAGAAATACTGAAGACATACAGCTTTCTGTTAAACAGTTCACAATATATAGTTTTATTTCCAGACCCCAGCTAGAAAAAAGAACTCATAACTGAGAAGCAGATGGAGCAGCAGAAGCTGCTAGAGGCAGTGAATGTGCTTCACAGAGAGTCCAGTGCTGTCTGAGGCTGGGTCACTACCTAGCACAGCAGGATTCACTCCAGACACTTGGAGAGTGACCAAGTACCTGCAGGTCATCTCAGGGCAAGCATAGCCTAGTTTACACCCTGCCACCACCATCTAAGAAAGATCCTCTACCAGGAATCAGCTATGCTGCTGGCTCGCTGTTTTAAAGTGTACTTCAGAGAAAATTCATCAAAACGATAACCTCACACAGAATCCCAATGCAACAAAATAGCAAAAACCCTTTAAAATTTTCTGAAAATGCATTTGACAGGTCATACAAAGATGAAACACTTTGAAAGCATAAAAACAGAGAATTGCTTTAGAGATGTTTTCCAGTGACTTTTTTTTTGTGATAGCATTCTCTAACACCTTACCTGTGATAGATTTAAGATATCATACAAACCTTTAGCGATTAAGTCTTTAAAACATATCCACCAAGTAATCTCACTTGAATATTTTCCTTGTATCCTGGTTCTCCTTGATTTTATGACCTCTTAGATTGAACACCAACTCTAACTTCTGAAAGAGGAGGCACCTATAGTGAGGGTGAAGGTCTTCAACTAGTGGTTAAGGAGACTTAGAATTCCAGACCACTAAACCATGTGACTTAAAATTTCTACATATTCACAAAGTTTTCATGCTATAAAAAGCCCTTCAGGCCGGGCGCGGTGGCTCAAGCCTGTAATCCCAGCACTTTGGGAGGCCGAGACGGGCGGATCACGAGGTCAGGAGATCAAGACCATCCTGGCTAATCCGGTGAAACCCCGTCTCTACTAAAAAATACAAAAATCTAGCCAGGCGAGGTGGCGGGCGCCTGTAGTCCCAGCTACTCGGGAGGCTGAGGCAGGAGAATGGCGTGAACCCGGGAGGCGGAGCTTGCAGTGAGCTGAGATCCGGCCACTGCACTCCAGCCTGGGCGACAGAGCGAAACTCCGCCTAAAAAAAAAAAAAAAAAAAAAAAGCCCTTCAATGCTGGTGGGTTCAAAGGCAGGAAGTCACACTTTTCCCTCCTTCTAGAATTGACGCAAAGCATTTGCCTTTACAAACTAAGCTGTTAATATGCTTTAAAAATGCACATAAACATCACAGCAAATTCATTTCGTACACATTTTTATGATGATGACTTTCTTGTATAGACTGTAAACAAAACAAATTTCACATATTATTAAACCTTGGGGAGAAACACACTTCAACCCTAACCTTCATGTCAAAAAGCAGTTAATTTTTTCAAGTTATAAGTCATTTCGATTTTTAAATATTTACCCTTAGACAGAATTTCTTCAAAGTCTAACTGGTCTTATTTTTGTCCTCGTTTGTGTCATGAACTATAGCTCAAATCTTCAAATTGCTGTAGATGTAGTTAAGATGTAAATATAAATACATTTAAATGTAAATAATTAAACCGGTTTGAGCCTTTCTGAGCAGACCAAACATATGAAAAAATGAATGAGTCAGTCTTTTTAAAATCAATTTGACTGGCCATCATATTCAGCCATGGTAAGCAGAGGACTCACCAGAACAATAGGCAGGTCATTTACCATGAGGGAGGAGAGCAGAATGACCTGAGTGAGTAATAGGCTTACAGCACTTTGAGGACTTCCCGTGGGCTTCAGACTAACAGTATCTAGGCTGGGATTTATGTGCCCACCCCCATCTCACGCCATACTTCTTTCTATTCTCTAACTATGCTAACTCTTTCTAAATTCCTTAAATGTGCCAAGCTCTGTCTTGTATGTTAATCTGCCAGGAACCTTCTATACTAAACCTTCCCTTCTCCTCACCTGACTAAAGCTGACTCCTCCTTTGGGTCTCAGCTCAGCCATCACCTTCTGAAAGAAGCCATCTCTAATTACCTCTATCCCCCACTGCCTCACACACACAGGCTTGCATGCACATACAAAAGCATGCACACGTGTCATATCTACACACTAGATTAAGTTAAACCCCCAAGCTATCTCTCCCCATGATACTGTTCGCCTTTTTTTTTTTTTTTTTTTTTTTTTTTTTTGAGACAAGGTCTTCCTCTGTTGCCCAGTGGCAAGATCATGGCTCACTGCAGTCTCAGCTTCCTGGGCTCACAGAATCCTCCCACCTCAACCTCCCAAATAGCTGGGACTACATGTGTGGACCACCATATCCAGATTTATTATTATTATTATTATCATTTTGTAGAGATGGGGTTTTTCTATGTTGCCCAGACTGTTTTCAAATTCCTGAGCTCAAGCAATCTGCCTGCCTTGGCCTCCCAAAGTCCTAAGATTACAGGCACTTCTCTTTCTTTAGCCTCATAGAGTTTGCAATTCTTGTTTAGTGTCTGTTTTCCCCACAAGGCTGTAGCACCATGGGGGCAGAGGATAATGAGTCTTATTCTCAGTTGAATTCATAGCAGAACATCTGGCACACAGTAACTGCTAGGAACACAGAGAAAGAAGAAAAGAAGAAAGGAAAAAAAGAAAGAAGGAAAGAAGGAAAGAAGGAAGGAAGGAAGGAAGGAAGGAAGGAAGGAAGGAAGGAAGGAAGGAAGGAAGGAAGGAAGAAAGGAAGGATCTATACAAAATTGTAGAGTCTCTATCCTAGTGGATTTGGAAGCATATAAAAAAGACATTCTCTGGTGTAACTGGCTAGACTCTACTGTACCTCAAAGTCCCTTTAGTTCTGGGTCAGGTTAAGTCATCTATACCTTCAACAACCCTTGATCTGTTGAAAATGCAGCTCATGTGTGGGTCAATGGGAAGATTCTAGAGAGGAACTGCACTGCTTAGCTCAGCTAAGTGAAGAGCACATTTATCTCAGTTGATCTCAGGTAGCCAAGGGTGAGATAGGGGCACCGATGTTTGCCCAGTCCCTTCTCTGTGAGAAACAAGCAGTAAAATGCTTTCTTTGGCAGAGACTGCATCTTTATATTCCACAAACTTCAGGGCACCACTCTGTGCAGAGAAGAATAAATCCATCCCCTGAACAAGACAGCCTTAATATTCTCTTTAGCTTGACTAAACTTTAGACACGATTTTTCCTGAATACAGGCCCCTGACGTCCCTTTTCTAAGAGCATTTATTTTGGAAAACCCAAAACTGTAAATTCTTTCTCTGCCTTGTTGAGATGTAGATCGTCTAGTTTCTTGCTAATTTCAGAAACCAGGGATGTCTTACTGAACGACAAGGACCTGACAGCCATCCCTTTAAATGTAATCATCAAGAATAGTGGTAAACCCCTCACTTCCAGTTTCAGTGGGACTGTAGGAATCTAATGTGCCAATTAGCAAACACAGATGCCTAATCACATGGGCCAACCTCATGCCAGTGGCCCTCCAGTACTTTTCCACTAGCTCACCCAGTACTTAAAAACCTTCCCATCTTTTATTTTAGCAGAGTTGGGTTCAGTATCTCTCATATTTTGTAATAGTTTTGAACAGAGTCTTTTCTGCGTGTTTGACTTTGTCTGGTGCAATTTGTCTTTGATACTCTCATAGGCCTGGCTCACATGTGTGCTTGAATTAAATTGGGGCTACATCACTCCTGGTAGATAGGAATGTTCTAGAAGGTGATTACCTTTCAAAAATTCTATCTCACTGAATACAATGTCAGTGAGCTCCCATTTAGTGAGAAGGATAATTCTTTTTATAATTTGAGGTGATATTGTTTAATGATGCTATTTTGAAGTAACATTAAACAAATGAAAATATCTGGCTACTTCTATGGGAGGCAGATTTGAATGATGTCCCAGGAGGATAAACTGTGGTTGGCATGTTTCAGAGCTATATCAGTTTTCTGCTCCATATAATGGAGCTCATGTAGTGGTCATGATTGCAATGTTGAAACCTTATTGAGCTCTTATTTTGAAGGTCAGCCTCTGAGGTGCCTAGATTTTATTTTCTTCTGGTTTGGAGAGTGGCTGATAGCCTTTTTGGCTGAACATCTTCCCTCTCAGTAAAAGTGAATAGCACAGAATCTGATGACTAGTGTACTCATTGAACTTTAATTGTCAGTATTGCTGTCATCATCTCATCACCACTTTCACAATTGTGAAAAACAAAAAAACAAACAGGATATTACGCCTTTAAAACTTTCTACTCTCTACCAAAAAAAAAAAAAAAAATAGTTGTGTAGTAATGCTGGCTTAAAACAGACTGTAGCCTTTGCTGGATTGCTTCATTCATATATAACCCTGAGCTCTATTTGTGAGATGTTTGTCTTTCTCTCTCCCTACCCCAATCCCTGCATTTTTTAGTGATGGATGGGCAGACAGAGATGAAGTCATTGAAGGTTATGAGGTGGAAGCCAACGGGGGAATCACGATAAAGCTGCAGTCTCCAGAGGTCAGGTCATTCGATGATTATTTCCTGAAACTGAGGCTGGACACTAACACGAGGAATCCCTGGTTCCCTGAGTTCTGGCAACATCGGTTCCAGTGCCGCCTTCCAGGACACCTTCTGGAAAATCCCAACTTTAAACGAATCTGCACAGGTAACTTGTGTTCACAAAATAACAACTCAAAGGTTTGGTCATCTCTTCTAGATTTATTGCAGCTTGTTGAATGAGAATAGAAGGTGCCAGGGCTAGAGCTCCAAATACAAAATTGCCATCTGTGTTTATAAAATGCTAGAATGAGGAGGAAGTGTGTATTACCCCAGGGATTCATGGAAATCTGGAAAGACAACTTTGGTCTCTGTTGGAGCAAGTGATAAGAGATAATAGAAGTAAAGGAAAAGCAAACTGAGGAGTCAGGTATCTAGTATTTAAGCCAGAGGGAAGAGATTTTTATGACAAACATGTTTAGGAGAGCTTAGCCGTAGATGTAAGTCAGCAGTACTGGTTAGATCCTCTTTTTTCCTCTGTGGCTTGTTTAGATACAGAAGTAAGGAGACGATGAGGTAATGTGACCCTAAGCCACACCATCAACAAGGGTTTTGTGGGCACAGGAGCCAAGAAACTGCACTCTGATCTTTCAGTCAGAACAATGGTTCACAGCTGGACAGACGAGCACCATGCACTACGCACTGATGCCATGCCGAGAAACAGCAGCACGTTGTTCCAAGTCCTTTAGGGGTGTGGTGAAATCCACAGGATGTCATCCTTGCAACCCCTAGTACTTCCATACCCAGATTCTGAAGACTGTAACTTTTATGAGTATTATTATTATTGCATAGGAGCATTACTGTCCCCTTTCCTTTTTCAGTATTTTCTAGGCTGCCAAGATAAATCATCTATGTCCTTTCGTAATGCCATTCAAAGCAAGTTGTTCTTACTGGGTCGATAGCATAGAATAATGGAGCACTCATGATAATGGGTGATGGAATCTACCCATGACCTAATTTGTGTTGTAGAACAGTGGTGTGACATGGATATCCTGTATGTAGGCTGAGCAGACATTATTTATAAAGGCATAGAATCATGTCACACCCATGTATAAACCACTGTATATAGCAATAAAATGGATAGAGAAACATATAACCCATGACTCTTGACCTAGAGAGGCTTGCCATCTCTTTGGGCAAATCAAAACAGTTCACATACATGAAATAGATAAATAACAATAGAGGACAATGAGTTTTTACAGGGGATGGTAAGAATATGGCTAACTACATAAAATATTTCTATTTTCAATAGTATTCATAGTTTGATGTTAGAAAATGCTTTCAGATACCAATATATGTAAATGCATCGATGTATATTTGACTTCATAAGGTTCAGCAGAGCTCATTGGGAAATTGCCTGGTATGAATCTATTTTCAAATAAGGAAGTTTCAATCTTTTAGAACTTCCTCAGTTTGGCTTCTAGGGAGGCCGAGAAAGGCAGGAGAAAGGGGAGACATTGCTAATCAGTAACCCACCTCTGCCACCTAGGTATTTCTACTTTCTCTGAAATAATAGACACCAAGAATAAGGATTCTAATGAACCAATAAATCATCCAGGACAGTCTCCTTATTTGCAAAACAGAGGTGATGAGGGTGAACAGGGGAAACAGTTTCCCTAGGCTCATAAGGTTAATGGCGGCAAAAAAAAAAAAAAAAAAGAGACAACCCACACCCCCCAGAACCATAGTGCCTGCTTTTAGACTTAGCATTTGGCAATATATTATCTCTCATTGCTTTCTAATTGTTTCCTAAGAAATGTTTGCCATCTTCAACTGTAGTCAAAGCAGCCTTACTTTCTTCATAGAACCCTATACAACACTGATCTCTGGGAACTCAGTCAATTCTTGTTAGCTAACTGATCAGTTAATTTACATTTTCATTCAGGGTAGGGAGTTTTGCTGAAGGGTCCAAGGAGAAGAGCAGTGAGGAGCCTACTGAATACACAGGGGAGGGTGGTGAATCGGGCAAGGCAGTGGCAAACAGAGTGAAGAGAAGTGGTTTGATGCTGAAGACATGTTAAGTGAAAGTTGAGTTTTTTTGACAGAATTGTCAAGAATAACTGTAATCTGAGCAATTGGAAAGATAGTGTCACCATTGACTGAGACAGAGGAAGATTTCAGGAAAAAAAGATTAGGGAAAGTCCAAGAGGCTGATTTTGGATAAATTAAGTTTGAGATATCTGATGGTGGTCCAACTATAGATGTCATTTTGTCATTGTGTTTTAATAGTAAAATTCAGGATACTACTTATTATACATGCTTGGATCATTTACATAAGGATTTCTAGGAAGATATTTTGTTACCTGAGCTCTCGAAACAAGCTAAAACTCTGCAACCAGTTACACTAGTATTTTGGGTTTTCAATTGTGACAGTACATAAAATGTTAAGGTTAAAGCTTAAACTGGGTTAGTACTCAAAGCAAGAAATAACAATTTACAAATCTTGTTTTATTCTTATGCTGTGCTTGAACCTCAAAGCTATGTTTAAGAGCTTCTTATGTGATTACAATCTTTATGAAATATGTTTATATTTGCATTTTATTCTGGAGTCAAGTTCAGCAAATATTTCTCTCTTTTTTTAGGTCTAAGGAAGATAGGAGGTTTATTTAACTTTTCAATTTGAAATTAATTCTTGAAACTTATTTATCTTTTCTGCAGCAAAATTCTTATAATTTTATCTTTATCAGTGTTTATCTATATTATCTATAATGTATACATTCATGTATACCTACCTTGTTCAGTTTTAATCTCTGTATTTCTGTGAAATTGGCTTCAGTGTTATTGAAGAACAATAAACTTTCACTTCATGTATTATTCTTATCCATTTGAGATCCTTAAATATCAAATGAATTCCATAATCTTCTAATGAATATGCAGACACATTTATGAAAATTAGTGTGAGGAAGTAGAATTAACCTTTCCATTCTATTGATAGCTACTGTTTCTGTCACTCATTTTTACCTCTTCTAATTGGGTCACTTCTAGTGGTTTGGAAAGTTTTGATATTGCCATTAGTTTCCATAGAAACCATTATTGAACTTAATCCCAGATGTCACTATTTAGATAAAGAGTTTATGGGCACTAGAATGCCAGTTTGGATGTTAATGGTCCTGAGCCCAGACTGAGTAGTTTAGGAATCACTGTGGCTAATTTAAAAGTATTTCATGTAAAGTACACATCACTGCTTAATTAGTTGAATATATCGAGGTATTGGAGCTGTGTTAGAAAAGCAATAACTGAAACATCAAAGCGTAACTTCTAAAAAATTAATCATTGTAGGACAGTGGAAAGAGGTGTAAAGTAAATCAGAGTCACTCTCTTCCAGTAAATGTCTTAGCTGCTTGAAAGATTTGTATCATGTTTGCAATGGCATAGTGCTTTTTCATTCTCAATGAGACTCATTAGAAAGATTCCATAGAAGCTGATAGGGTGTAACATTTTGAAGCACTATCACTGGGTCCAGTACCAGTTCAGTTATGTATCAGCCGCATGACTTGCATGACCTCACTTAACCTCCGAACCTCAGTTTTGGTAACATGACAATATTCACCTCACATAGAACTCTGCATGAATTGAATGAAATAACACAAATGAACTACTTTACAATAAAATAATACAAGTGAAATACTTTACAAACTGAAAATACTTAGCATAAATGTAAAATGTTACTACTAGTGTCATGTCTTATTAGAAAAGAGGTCATGACATAGATTATTTCATAAAAATTATATATTTTGTAACTGTAAGTTTAATTTAACTACATCCCAGGATGTGGAAACTAGAAAAAAACAAGACAACAATCTTTAATCAATCACCCTTACACAGTTAGTGTCAATATAGATATTTTCTCTTATATATTTCCATGCAATCTTTTATAATTTTTTTCTGATGATAAAAATAATACATACTTAATTTGCTATTGCATGCACTTGGAAATATACAGAAGCATTAGAAAGCTGAAGAGAATTAAGAATTTGCTCTTATCTAAACATTATTAGTCACTGTTAAATTTTTGGTATGTTTTCATCTCTCTATATATAGTTTTAAATTGTGTATTAATATTATTTTATATATTGCTGTATTAAAAATGTTTTATACATTGATACATTTCTCTTTGTCGTTAAATTCTTTTATTCTTAATGACTGCTTAACATTTTGCATTCAGATAAGCTATAATTTAGGCATTTCATTCTTTCTATTTAGGCTGTTTTTGGTTATTGACAATTTTTTAAAATGTTGAAAATTTTTCATTCTAACTTTCTTTTTTTACATTTCAGGTAATTTTCTTAAGTTGTATTTCTATAAGTTAAATTTCTAGAAATTTAATCAAAAGATATAAACATTTCTGGCTGGGTGTGGTGGCTCATGCCTGTAATCTCAGCGCTTTGGGAGGCTAAACTGGGCAGATGACTTGAGGTCAGGAGTTCGAGACCAGCCTGGCCAACATGGTGAAACCCCATCTCTATTAAAATACACAAATTAGCCAGGATGGTGGCAGGCACTTGTAATCCCTGTTACTTGGGAGGCTGAGGCAGGAGAATCATTTGAGCCTGGGAGGCAGAGGTTGCAGTATGCCGAGAACGCGCCACTGCACTCCAGCCTGAGTGACAGAGCAAGACTCCATCTCAAAAATAAAAAAAAAAAAAAAAAAAAAAGATATGAACATTTTCAAGCTTTTGAAAAGGAGTTCCAAAATGCAAATCCTACAAAAGCTGCTTGAAACTCTATGCATTCTTTTCCATTTTGTTTTGCATAATTATCATCACAGTGTGCATACAATTCTGTATCTTATTTCACTTAAGATTATATTTTACATAGTTTTGATGTTGCTGCATGGTCTTTATAACCACCATTTTAATAGCTCCGTAATATTCTAACCAGTTAAAATACTATAACTACTAGCCATTCTTATGTTGTCAGACATTTAGACGAGTTTTAATTTTCCTTCTTACATAAAAATAAAAAAACACTGAATATGGTACACAGATTTTTCACAGTTGTTGTTGTTACTGCTTTTGGATTGTTCCTTTACAGTAGATTCCTAAATATAATTATTAGTAATAACTTGATAAATTTGGGATCACTTGAAAATATATACTGCATTTTCTT